GGGGGGGGGGGGGGGGGGGGGGGGGGGGGGGGCAGGCGGGGGGACCCGACACACACACATTTCTCCATTTCCCTTGGGTAAACCATCCCAGCTACAAGTCAGAAAACAGAAAAAATATATATATATTCCTGCTTTCCAGAGGAGTTAATAATACATTTTTGGTTTATTTTGGTACCTTCTGTACACTGAAGAATAAACAGAATCAACACAAGAAACCATAGCCCCATTTGTACACATCTCTATCCACATACCCCCACCAAAAAAAAAAAAAAGCCTGTGGTTACTATTTACACCAACAGTACAGGGACTTAAGCAAATGAATAACCACACTGTGGGTTACTCGTCTAAATTATACCCATGACCAACCCAGCCTGAAGTGACCTTCCGTGCCTCCAAATTACCATAGCAGTTGCTTTGTCAAATTTACTTAATAACTAAGCATGGCCTACTGATTAATGTAACATTAACTTAACCTATGGTCGAAATTTAATGTTTTCTTACAATTTAATGTTTTTCATCTGTTACCTCCTACTAGAATTTTTAGTTTTAGGCAAAGTTTTCAAAAATGTTTAAAAATATAAACTGAGAACAAAATCAGTAAAAAAAATTTAAACAATACCAAAATATCTAAAATGAAAGCCCCTTGTACCCTCAAATCTCTACCCCTCTTCTAGGGGAAACTGCTACTAATATTCTGGAGTACTGCACAGATAAGGTGGGTTGTACGGTATATAGCTATTTTGGGTTTGTTTTTTTTTTTAAGGAAACAACAAAAAGAAAAATGAATAACTATATACCATTCAAAACGTGCTCTTTTCACTCAGTATTATGGGTCTCCTTCCATGTCACTACACAGAAATATCTCATTCTTTGACTGCTTAGTATTCCACAGTATGGCTATACTGTTGTCTGTAAATATCTTTTTCATTTAATTTTTTGGATTAAGTAATAACATATATACATTGTGCAAAACTCAAAGGTATAAACTATCTCCCCACTGACAGCCACTGTTTCTAGAATTTGGAAGTTCTAATACTGCAAGGAAGATCATCAAATACTTAGTGGATATTCCTATGTGAGAAAGTTTAAGAATTAAGGAAATCTGTGTTCCGTGCCCACGGGCAGCTGATGATATGACACCTTTGAATTACTGTCACAAATAGGGTTTGATACTTAGTTTCCAAGTGCCACATTATAGTCACCCTCACTATAATTTTCTATCAAACCTGTAAAAGAAAGTTTCCTGAAACTAATGTAGTCTCCCAGCTGCCATTTGCTATTTTTATATGCTTTGGAAAAGAGGCAGAAACTTCTGCTGTATTTGGTATGATTTCCCATGGTGTGACATCTCTGCAAGCTAAAAGGCTGACACAGTAGCCTTTTTTTTATTATTAGTTTCAATACTGATACTTCAAATAAGTAGTGATTAAATATTTTAATAGGCTTAAAATTTGGTTATGAATTTATTTTTTATTAGTTTCAATACTAATACTTTAAAAGTAGTAATTAAGTATTTTAATAGGCTTAAAATTTGGCTATGAATCTATATATACATGGACTAAATGACACACTTAACTGACTCAGATGACAGCTATGGAAATTGACTTTTTAACTGGGTTTTCTCCACCCCAGCCCAAGCATAATAAAAATTTAACTTTCCCTTCTTTTGAAAACAGAAGAATGAGGCCTTCACTCGTGTGAAAAGTTTTTAGACATCAAAGCCATCTTTCTGCTCAAGAATTAATGATGCAAATTCATGCTCACCAGTGTAGTGAGAACTAGGGGACTTTTGGAGTCACTGAACTTCCACTGCTGGAGGTTGGAGGCGAGAGGTCAGGAAAGAACCACTCTCCTCAAGCTATAAAGACTCATAGTCCAGCAGAAATTCAACATTCAACTCAAATTAATCCTGAGTTTCCAGCAACCAGTTAGTGGTCTTAAGAATCTATCAAGATGTCTTGAAAGCATTAACTTTAAAAAGGTGAGCATTCTCTGAGGCCATAATTCACCTCCAGAGTCCAGCTGAGTACTGCTGTTTATTCAGCCCTGCTGTCTATAATCCATTAGCAAGAATGAACAATGGTGGTCTGTTACTGACCTAAGTGACCAGCTAAGTAGCACTTAGGAAACAGTCCTCAAACACTCGTCAGACTGCTGGCCTTTACCATTTAAAATCACTGATCTTCTCCAGGTTGAACACTTTTTCTCCCATCGAACTATATCTGGTTCAAAAGCAAGTTTTTAATTCCTTTTGGCAATGAAGCCTGTGATATGACATTTTGCAGTGGTCTACTATTCATTCTGCAAAACTATTAACATTTCCATTCTGTTGACAAATATTTACCAGGCCTCTATGAGGGAACTTCAAAAAGTTCATGGAAAATGTAAATAAAAGATAAAAACAAAAAACATAAACTATATTTCTCAATATAAGCTCTATCAAGTTCAAGACACTTTTGTAAGCAATGACATCAGCCATTTAGTCCATCTCTAAAGAACTGAGGGTCCTGGAAATTTAACCATGTCAATGCAGTCTTTTTTACATTATTAACTGAAGAAAAATGGGTGCCTTTTAAAGATTTTTTAAGATTAGAGAACAATGAATCTGTAGATGGCTTTGGGTACTATGGACATTTTCACTACATTAATTCTAACAATCCATGAAAATGGAATGTCTTTCCATTTTTTGGTGTCCTCTTTTCTTTCTTTCAGCAGTTTGTTGTAGTTCTCATTGCAGAGATCTTTCACCTCCTTAGTGAAATTTATTCCTAGGTATTTTAATCGTTTGGTAGCTATTGTAAATGAGCTTGCTTTCTTGATTTACAGATTCAGTGCAGTCCCCATGAAAATACCAATGACATTCTTCACAGAAATAGAAAAATTTCCTAAAATTCATATGGAACAACAAAAAACCCTAAATAGCCAAAGCAATCCTGAGCAAATAAATAAATAAATAAAACTGGAGGCATCATACTATCTGACTTCAAATTATACTACAAAGCTATAGTAACCAAAACAGCATGGTACTGACATAAAAACAAACACACAGACTAATGGAACAGAATAGAGAACCCAGAAATCAACTCATGTACTTACATCCAACTGATTTTCGACAAACACACCAAGAACATACACTGGGGAAAGGACAGCCTCTTCAGCAAATGGTGCTGGAAAAACTGGACATCCATGTGTAGATGAAACTAGACCCATACCTCTTGCTATGTAACAAAATCAACTCAAGTGGATTAAAGACTATAAGACCTGAAACTATAAAACTCCTATTAGAAAACATAGGGAAAATACTTCGGGATGTAGGACTGGGCAAAGACTTTATGAATAAGACCTCAAAAGCACAGAATGAAAGAAAAAATAAACAAATGGGATTATATCAAACTAAAGTTTTTGCACAGCAAAGGAAACAATCAACAGTGAAAAGACAAACTACAGAACTTGAGAAAATATTTGCAAACTATAAATCCAACAAGGGATTAATATCCAGAATATACAAGGAATTCAAACAACAGTAAAAAATAAAATTGTAATAATCCAACTAAAAAATTGGCAAAGGAGCTGAATAGACATTTCTCTAAAGAAGAAATAAAAATGGCTGCCAGACACATGAAAAAATGCTCAACATCACTAATCATTAGAGAAATGCAAATCAAAACTACATGAGATATCATCTCACCCCAGTTAGACTGGCTATTATCAAAAAGACAAGAGAATAACAAATGCTGGTAGGATGAGGAGAAAGGGGAACCCTCATACACTGTCGATGGGACTATAAATTAGTGCAGCCATTATGGAATACAGTATGGACATTTCTCAAACAACTACAGATAGAGCTACCATATGATCCAGCAATTCCACTGCAGGATATATACCCAAAGGATTGGAAATCATCATGTTGAAGGTATACCTGCACTCCCATATTTATTGCAGCTGTATTTACAATAGCCAAGAGCTGGAACCAACCTAAATGTCCATTGATGGATAATTGCATAAGGAAAACGTGGTATAGATGTACCATGGAATACCACTCAGCCATAAAAAGGAATAAAATTCTCCCATTCACAGCAACACAGATGAGCTTGGAGAAAATTACATTATGTGAAATAAGCCAGGCACAGAAAGAGAAGGACCGCATGTCCTCATTCCAAGTGACAGAAGAGAAGGGGAGGGGAGGAAGGGAGTCAGGAAGGTAGGAATGAAAGAAGAAAGGACACAATAATGTGTTGATCTTTCAGAAGGAGTGAACAGGTGTGGTTAATAGAGGTGGAAAAGGTGGAGGGAGAGGGGGGTTAGTGACAAATTGTTTAGTGGTCACAAAGAATGATTATGTTTTATAATGATAAACATGCTGATTATCCTGATTTGATCATCACATTGTACACAAGTATTTATATTCAACTCTGTACCCCACAAATACGTATAATCAATTATTTTTCAATTAAAAAAAAATAAAAAATAAGATTAGGAAACCAAAAGTCAGGAGGAGGGCCGGCCCGGTGGTGCACTGGAGAGTGCGCCGGTTGGGAGCGTGGCGGCGCTCCCACCGAGGGTTCGGATCCCATATGGAGACCGGTTCCCACTCACTGGCTGAGCGCGGTGCGGGCGCAACACCGAGGGTTGCGATCCCGTTGCCGGTCCCCGGTACGGGCGTGACACCAAGGGTTGCGATCCCGTTACCGGTCAGTAAAAAAGACAAAAAGGAAAAAAAAAAATAAGTCAGGAGGAGCCAAATCAGGTCTATAAGGTGGATGCCTAATAATTTCCTATCGAAACTCTCACAAAATTGCCCTTGTCTGATGAGAGGAATGAGCAGGGACATTGTCATGGTGGAGGAGGACTCTCTGGAGAAGCTTTCCCGTGCATTATTCTGCTAAAGCTTGGCTAACTTTCTCAAAACACTCTCATAAAAAGCATATGTCATCATTATTTGGCCTTACACTTAACTGTCTGCTTTTGCTTTGACTGGACCACCTCCACCTCTTGGTAGCCAAGTTTTGATTGTGTTTTGTCTTCAGGATCACATTGGTAAAGCCATGTGTCATCTTCTGTTACAATTTTTCGAAAAAATGCTTCAGGATCTTGATCCCACTTGTTTAAAATTTCCATTAAAAACTCTGTTCTTGTCTGCAGCTGATCTGGGCTCAACAGTCTTGGCACTCATTTAACAGAAAGTTTGCTCAACTGTAATTTTTTAGTCAGAACTGTGTAAGCTGAACCAATTGACATATCTATGGTGTTGGCTCTTCCTTCTGCTGTTAATCCTTAGTTCTCTTCAGTTAGGGAACAAAAAAGATCAATGTTTTCCTCGTAAATCGATGTGGATGGTCTGCCACTGCAGGCTTCATCTTCAGTATCATCTCATCCCTTCTTAAAATGAGTTATCTGTTTGTAAACTGATGATTTCTTTGCGGCATTTTCCCCATAAGCTTTTCATAAAGCATTAATAATTTCACCCTTCTTCCACCCAAGCTTTGCCATGAATCTGATGTTTGTTCTTGCTTTAATCTGAGCAGAATACAGGTTGCTCTGATAGGAGCTCTTTTCAATGTAATTTCATATCCTTCTCAGTGCCTCAAACTAGATCCTTTTCAGACATATTATAACAAGTTAGTACAAGTTTATTTTTGTGCAAAAAAAATTGAAATCTATGCACAGTTTTTTCATAATACACATTGCCAAAGAACTTTTTCAAGACCCCTCATATTATGTGCCAAGAACCATGAAGTAACAAACTGTACAATGAGACATAAGCTGAATATCTAATTGTAAGTAACTTCAGGCTTAGGAGGTTATACCCATGTAAACAGGCAATTATAATATATGGTGCTATAAGTGGTATGGCTGGGGAAATTCCCCAATTGCAGACTCAGAGAGAAGGCTTCCTGGAGAAAATAAAGCATGAGTGGTGAAGAGGAGAGGCAGGGAGACAGAGAAGAGGGTCAGTCCCAGGCAGAAAGAACAGCTTGCGTAGGCTCAGGAGGAAGAAAGCGCATATAATATATGGGGTAGTGAACATAGGTCAGAATGACTGAAACAAATCTATATTCCATAAACATGAAGAACAAGCATATTCCAGAAACTGGTGAGCAGTCCAACACCACCTCTGCCCCAGAACTTGAGAAATGGTGCTGCTGTAACCTTGGGGATACCAATTTGGTGGATCTTAAATTTTTTTGAGCTACGAATCATTTGGAGATTCTGAGATTAGCTGTGGATCCTCTCACCAGAAAAACGTATCTGAATACATAATTTTGTTCACAATTTCATGGCGTTCAGAGTCACCAGCAGAGTATATCAAGACCCCTGATTATAACAGAGTTCAAGCTCATTTTACAGATGAGGAAACTCTGAGGCCTATGATGACTTACAAAAGCTATTGATAAAAGCTAAGGTAAAACCCAAGATTCCCCACTCTCAGGCCAGTGCTCTTTCCTCTGCATCACTTCTGGGAAGCATTTCTATGGAAGTGTCCACTTAAACTTTAAAGTATCCCATGCTCAGGTTGTCCCAGACCTACAACACAGAGCTCAATCACTTCAGCTCCCATATTAAAAATTCCCTGGGGGCTGGGATGTTCAACTAATCAGTACTACACAAGGGTACTTCAAAAAGTTCATGGAAAAACAGAATTAAAAGATAATATGAATCTTTCCATGAACTTTTTGAAGGACCCTCCAATTGTGTAAGATGCAGCAAGATGCATGGCAATGACTGAGGTGTATGTACATTTGTTTCTCTCAAGCAAAGCAAACTAGGACATGCTTACCTGTTCCCTGCCACATCCAGGACGTGAAGTTCTGTTGCCTGCGACACCTCTGCAGGTATCCGAGTAAGTCTATTGTCACGCACGCAGAACACAGTGAGGCTGCAGCAACCACCAATCTACAGTGGAAAAGAAAATACATCGTTTTCAAGTTTTGGGGGATATGGAGTAGGACCAGAGTACTTGTTTCAAACATTATGAAAAAGATGCATAAAATTATACCATATAATTTTAAGTCTCACCGATGCCCCAACTATGATTAATTTAAATCACACCAAACAGTCCCATAGGTTCATAAAAAACTCTGCAAAATGTTAAATATACATGTTCTAAATTAAATCAAGAAAATAAACAATACTGATACAGTTCAAAATTTCATTCTGAAAAGGAAGTCATTTTCCATTGCTGATATCTAATGTAATTGCATCTGTTAAATATGTTAATCAAACTACACAGGTCCAGACAAATAGTATTTGGTAATATGGGAGGGAACTGGACAATACACACACACAAACAGTTCAAGACCTTTCCATTACATGAACTTCAGTGTTTTTGGTATTGTTTCATTTAAAAAAAAGGAATATCTGATTAATTTAGTAAATTAATTTCCTTCGATAAATGTAAAATCAACAATATTTTAGTAAAAAGAGAATTTGGTAAATATATACATTAATTTCCTCAGCTGTGTTGGTAAAAGCACATAATTCAACATCTGTGTCCACACCAAATTTGATTACTATCTATTTAAAGTAAGCAATTCAAAGGTAACTGATGTTTATATGAGTCTAGTCTTCAATAAAGAATACAGACACAAAAGAGTTCAATGACTCTCTTGAGCAAATTGGCTGTGGTTTTTACAGTCAGGAAAGCTGAACCAAGGAGGTGGAAAAATAATTCAATCCCAGACACAACATTCTGCAGGGCTCCATAAAGTACTACATTCTTCTTGTGCTCTCTATCCTGACTAAGAGCAATTGCTAGAAAAGGCCCATGAAGGGGCCTATTGATGTATTTCTGACACATGGAAAAATACTATTCCAGAGCCTCCTACTTGAGGAAGAACATGAGACTTGAATCTTCATTGATATCTGAATATATCTTCTGCCCTTTTCTATTTATACACGTGCTTAATACATGTAGATAATATCCTAAAAAGCAGAGTGCCTATTTATGAAACTACTATATAATTATCTTCACACATCTTTTTATTTCTTCGCTTAAGAGTTAATATAAAAATTTCAAAACAATATATTCGACCACCGTATTTAACTATAGTGGATATAAAAGAAAAATAAACATATAAGAAAACGTGGGCTAACATTTGTCTTTGGTCATGTAGAAAGCACCCAGATATGTAGAAAGGCTTTTAGATTTGTCCCCTTTATTTATCTCAGTATTCAAATAATCACATTTCCCATCCCAGCAAAACTGGTTTAGTCACCGTACTCTAAAATACACCTTGTTTCTTATAGAAATGTCTTTCTTGTTTCTGTCTTTTTAAATCTTACCAATCATTCAAAATTAGCTAAATGTCCTCCATAAAGTCTTACCAGAACCCCCTTACCATGAAATATGATAAATTGCTCTCTGCACTCATTTTGTAATTATGTCTAACACTCTAAGAGTACAAAATACCTCATGAAGATTCCTAAGATCATCTGACTGAGTTACTGTCTAATTTGCACATATTTACATATAATCAGAGTGCTTGGCAAGTATAATATCCATATACTATACCATATACTCTCTACCCACCATGGATATACTATATCCATATACTCTCTACCCACCATGCATAGCCTATCTACATACCAAATTTCCTGTTTAGGTATGTTCATACACTTTATTTATTTACTTGCTTACTTGTTAAAAATAGCTACTTAAAGGTTATATGCTTCTATGTGTAGCAATGGAGGGAGACAACAAAACTCTTTGTTCTGGCAGAATCACCAGAGCAGCTTCTCTTAGGTTTTATAAATACGGGGCCTGTATTTGTAAAACAGGGCTCCAATCTAGTGTCCTAGAAGAGATGTTCAACCAGATCTTTCACATAGCGTGGCATTTCTTCTCTCCCTTGAGGAAGGAAATCACCAGTTTTACTCAGGTGCCCAGGAATATCATGAAAGGAAAAAAATCAAAACTCTGATCCTTTTAAGGATCGATATTATAAGATTCTGATAAATTTAGATAATTCTGACAAACATCTACTCATGGGAAGGAATACCCAAGGTCCCTATGGTGCACCCTTCCCCCACCTCTGCTCCACATGGAAAGGCATCTGCATGAGATCTGGGTTCAGTGGTGGGCTTGTGTCACATAATGGAGGTCCTCCAGGCCAGCACTTGGCTGAGGCTGGTGACCCTTTGACCCTGACACCTTGGCCTAGCTTCAAACAATCAGGATCTATGTGTACCCCAAGGAGGCAAAGCAGATAATGATAATATCAGTTAATCATATGATCATACTGACAGGACATCCTGGAGGGCATACGGAGCTAGGACCGCATTTTGAGTCCAGACGTCTTGTCATGAAGCTGTCCACTGCCCCAGCCAACTATAAGATACCTGTTTTGGGACCCTATTGCTATACCATGTGAACATTTTCAATCTGTATCATGTGCATATATCACATAGTCAAAAAAAATTAACTAATTAAAGTGGGTCAGAATGCTCTAAAAGTTCTGGGCAAGTAAACGTCCCTTGAGTATTTGGGGAAAATAGTGTAAACTTCCAATGAGTGTGTGAGCTGTCTACTGTGTTTGTGGTCTTTTTTGTTTTTTTTCTTTTTTCCATTTTCCTTTCCTACTCTAATCTCACACCCATTTGAGATGTCAAGGGGTGGAAAGCAATTGTGTTCAAGAGCCTCTTCGGCCCTCTGGGTTGTCAAAGCAGGCAGTGTGACCTCCTGATCTCTATTGTCTATGGATTTTGCAAAAACAATGACAGCAAAGAGCATATGTTGTTGCAGAGTGTGCTAGGCATGCCTTAATCACCAGCAAAGGCACATGCTGTCCCAGGCAAACATTCACACAACAGAACCCTCTTTCAAATCAGCCAAGAAAGGATAGCACAAACCTTTGGTCTTTAGAAAAGATTATTAAGCATTCAAAACCATAACTCAAAAGATATAGTCCACTACAGGTGTCAGAGGGGATGCGGTGCAACGGAGGCAGCAGATGCTTTGAGATCAGAGACATGGGTTAGGATTTAGACTCAGTAATGTGTTTTGTGGGTTTGGATAGGTTACTTTAACTAAAAGTAACAATACGGATTAAATTAAATGAAACCACATATATAATTTAGCACCTATCATAGAACCTGGCCTACTGCTACTGCCAAATAAATGTGGTAGCTATTTTTTTTTCCAAGAAGTGAAAACTCCAGACACTTGAATACCTACTATGTTTTGGAACCGTGCTGATGCTGGCTATCTCTTTCCTAAATTCACCTGAATGTCTTAAAGAACTGTCTCCCTGACAATGTATCACAATGACATTTTGTATTAACAATAGTGAAGACATGAGTTCATATTATTAATATGAATTTTTGCTTTCTCTTTCTGGCTCAGGGGGCAGAGTTTACAGGTTCCTTAGTGGTCATCACAATAAAATGTCTGTATCACTTAGAACTTCTGGGAAGCAGAGCCACTGTTTAAATAACTTATTACCAGTTATGTAGGAAGATGGTATTTTTAAACCTCCCTTAAACCACATAATAGCACCTTCCCAGAATCCAAGGGGTTGGACTTGGGTTCTCTGAAAACAACTGAATGTAGCTTAGAATTCGTATTTATCTGTTTTGTATCTCTTTTGATTCAAAATGATACTGTCCTTAACTGTTTGGCACTAATCTAATCCACCTCAAGGAGATAGGACCAGCAGATCACTGAGCAAAGCTTTATTCAGATCAGCTTTAAGTATAATTGCCTGCAGGTTACCCTAAGAAAGATAATCAGATGGATTCAATGATTCAAAGAGAAAGCCTATGTTAGTCACCTTTGTCTGTTTATATTCCTGTCTGCAAATGCCTGCCCCAAGTGTAAAGGAGCCTTCATTTTCCCTCAGTATCTTCCTTTCAATATTATTTGTAACAGAAGGTAACCCACATTTCACTGGCAAAAACGTAAAATGTACTGTAAGCAAAATCTGGATAAAATACAATTTGAGTAGAAATAATATGATGTATAATTTTAGAATCCCATCATTATCTGTGGCATCACCTTTGGCATATTACTCAAATGTTCCCAACTTCATATATATTTTGGAAATTATGTGGCTTTGGGATTCCCTGAATTGTTGGGCAACTGATATCAAAATATACAATAATAGGGCCGGCCCAGTGGCGCACTCGGTAGAGCGCGGCGGCGCTCCCGCCGAGGGTTCGGATCCCATATAGAGACCGGTCCGCTCACTGGTTGAGCGCGGTGCGGGCGCGACACCAAGGGTTGCGATCCTGTTGCCAGTCGTGGTACGGGCGCGACACCGAGGGTTGCAATCCCGTTACCGGTCATGAAAAAAGACAAAAAGGAAAAAAAAAAAAATATATATATATATATATATACACACACACACACACACAATAATAGCTATGGCCTTTTTTCTGATTATAAAAAAGTAACTTAGGTTGACTGAAAAATAAAAACCATACATACACACACAGAAAAGCACTATAAAAATAAGTATATGAAATCTTATCACAAAAAGATAATCAGTATTAACATTTTGAGGCACAATCTTCCATATTATTGCCATGCATTTGTTATTATACAATACAACAGTACGTCAAAACTTCATAGAAAGATTTGCATTATCTTTTAAATCTATTTTTTCACAAACTTTTTGAATTACCCTCATACATACACAATTTAACAAAATTAGAACCGACACTATGATCTTTAACACCTCTGTTTACATATGACATCAAGAACATTTTCATATGTCACTATGTTTCTAGAAGGATTTTTAATGACCGCATAATTGTTTCCTTCCACAGATGTATCACAGACTATTTAGCAAATTGCCCATGTTAGACATTGCTAGTTAGTTCTGCCCCTTCTTTGCTGTGTGACCTTGGGCAAGTTACTTAACCTCTTCTTAGTCTTAGTTCCACAATCTGTTGGATGTTGGTAATGATTTACCCACAACTCATAGAACTGTTATGAAAATAGACAAGAGTGAGCATGAAAACACTTGCCACACGCTAGCCGTACTTGTACATGCTTGGTATGGTGCCTAGAACATTTTAGCTGCTCCTATAATAATGGGAGAAATATGGTGCATCATTCTCAGTGTATATCCATGAAAGCTTTCTTAAGATAAACCTAGAAGTAAACTGCAAAATGGGTATGTGCATTTTTTAAGTTTTTAATATTACCTTATTCCCTTCCAGAGGCCATAATACATTATATTATGCACTTCCCTGAACATTTGTCAATGTTTAGTATTATTATTTTTAGAAATTTTGAAAATTTGATAGGCGAAAATGTTTTAATATTTTTATGAATATTGATGAGGACGAAATTGTTTCACATCAATTGCCATTTCTATTTTTTCTTCTGTGAATAGGTTATTGATTTTTGTCAGAAGTTCTTTTGTTTTTGTTGACTTTTCTATAGTGCATACATTTTTTTTCAATGATTTGACAAAATCTGGTAGAATACGGAGAGGTCGCCCCTCCACTTGAGATGTTGCAAATATCTCCCTGCCCCCAAGCTGTCTTTACTTTCTTGAAGATCAGAAATCTAATTTCATGCAGACAAATCCATCAATTGTTTCTTCTATGATGTGTTTCCTCCTCAAGTTTAGAAATGCCTTCTCGGTCTTGAAATCTGATAGCCAACTATATTTTATTCCAATATTTTTAGGTTTTATGTCTTGTATCAATGACTCATTTTAGAATATAATGAAAACTTACACTAAAAGAATTTTAAATTGTAATAAGAAGTCAGAAAGCTATCCACAAATGAATACTCTATCACCATAGACAGTTTTGAATACCACAATAGTACTCATAATTATGGGTAATTAATGTTTACAGGTTGCCTGATATAGAAGTGCTTTGATGAATGACCTGCAAATTCTACCTTGTCTCATTTGACTGGATAGGTATAATATAGTTAGGGTTGCTTTCATTTTGACTTAATGGAGATCAAAAAACTGAACTCTAAACTTGGATATATGCTCCATTTTTGCCAGCCAGAAACTCTGTATGGTCCAGGTTATTCAAAGATAAGATCTGGCTGGGGAATATTATGAAGTTACCGGCTCTTATTCATCACACCCATGATCATCTATACACCAACTCCCTGTCCATCCTCAAATCATACTACTACACAGTCTCTTCTTCTTAGATATTCTCTCCACCAAATATATGAGTTATTAAGGGAATCTCTTTTTCCCAGAAGTATACTTAAGCAACAGGATGAGAAATAAAAGACATAAATAAGTGGCTAGAAAATGAGAAGCATGCCACATACAGCAAACAAATCAAATCTAGTCTCTCCATCACAGACAGAATCATAGATAGATGAGCTGCTGAGTGAGGCCTTTCAGAATTTGAGTAACTTAAAATGTACTTCACAGGAAGCATTCTTTAGAGATAATCTGAACAAATCAGAAAAACACATAACAACATAGGGTTCCACGCCATGCAGTCATTAAAAAAAAAAAAAAGTGAATTTATAAGAAAATGTTTAATATTTTACAGTGAAGAACACAGTCAGCTGATTCAAATCATCATGCATTTAAGAAGCAGAATGGAAGGTGAAAATGAAACTGTGGTCTGAAACATACTTACAGGATAACAAGTTTACCTGACTTTTCTAAATTTCCAAGCAGCTAACAATTAAGAAAACAAGAGACATTTATTGATTTGCAAATGTTCACTACAAATAACACCACAAAACACAAACAGAATCTATTATTGTGACCCACACAGTACAAACATTTTCCCCTCAACCATTTGGGGAAAAAATGAAAATAAATGCTGCTACAGACTAAGACGCTGTGCCATAAAACTGACAAGACACAACACTATCAAATTAAAAAAGAAAAGGACAAAATATAGGAAGAACTACACAGTGCACCAGACCAATGGCAATTAATACAGCTATGGATTTTCAGCATATAAATTGAATTTCAGTTTAGATATGTCATATATGCAACTTAATTGTTCAGGAAAAAGTAGTAATTTTTGAGAAAAGAATCCAATCAGGAAAATGCAGGATTTGATCAAATGGCATCAAGCTTGGAGGCAGAGCTCATACGTTCACTTGTACACACACACACACACACAGTCACGGGGCCACCACACTCACTGCACAGAGACTCATGACATGATGCTGCTGCCCAGGCCAACATGATGCAACACAAAGTCAGGAGGCTCTAGGTGGTTTGGCTGTTCAGCCCCAACATTCAGAGGCAAGCACTCAACCATTTCTGCTAGGTTCCCAAACCCTGACCTGCAGAACTGGAGGTGTGCCGGTCATGTTTCCTACTATGGGAGCTGAGCATGCGTGATGTAGGAGTGAAGATGTGCTAGAAAAGATCCAATTCCTAAAAACCTAAACAATCTCTGCTTAATCAGGCAGCTGAAAGAAAAGGTACAGACTTTATTCCTTTATAAAAGTCTAGATGCCAGAAAACCAAGCATAATTTCCCAGAAAATAAGTGAAACATAATAGCTAAAATGCATTGAAGCTTTTCACATCTTGAAAAGCTGTTCTAGTAAAGTTAAACAGACACACAGCACTTACTAGGTATAACCCTCTAATCAGGAATGCTGAGTATGAGTTTCTCTCTTTTAAAGTGAAAAAAAGACTGATAGTGAAATGATTATAGTTTCATAAAAACAAGTCTCTAAAGTTCTTTTCTAGAACATGTTCCTGTGATGGAATCAAAGAAAGGGACAGGAAAGCTGGGGGTGGGTGGTGAAACACTGAGGATTAAAATTAAACTTAAAAGCGCTCTCCTTGGCACTTGCCTTGAAAATATTCCTACAATATGGTAATTTTCTAGAATGTCTAAACTAAAGATAATTTGACCCTTCTCTACCAAATCAAAGTCTTGTATTACCTCAGGACTACACAGTTACAAAGGTTGGGTTGAAATTGCATTATCTGAGTTGCCACGTTTTTATTGGCCGGTCAAAGGGCGGTGGGCTGGCTGTTGGGAGACATCTTTGGAGCCTGGTTCTACCATCTCCTAGCTATGTGAACCCTGATAAGAACCAGCCCAAATGTCCATCATCAGATGAGTGGATATGGAAAATGTGGTATATCTACATAACGGAATACTACTCTGCTATAAAAAAGAGTGAAATACTGCCATTTGCAACAACATGGATGGACCTAGAGAGAATTATATTAAGTGAAATTAGTCAGGCACAGAAAGAGAAATATCACATGTTCTCACTTATTTGTGGGAGCTAAAAAATAAATAAATAAATAAATACACAAACAACGGGGGAGGGACACAACAATTACAATTCCTTGAAGTTGATACGACAAGCAAACAGAAAGGAGATTGTTGGGAGGGAGAGGGGAGAAGAGGGAGGGAGGTTTTGGTAATGGACTACAATAATCGACCACATTGTATATTGACAAAATTAAATTAAATTTAAAAAAAAAAGAAAAGAAAAACTCACTGGCCTCAGTTTCCTAATCTGTAAAATCAGGAAATCATCATGACTTCAAAAGCTGTTGTGAGGATTTAATGAGTCAACATACTTGAAAGCACCTAGTACAGTGCATGGCACTGAAAATGAAAGTAATGAATCTTTTCTACTTCTCGCTCTCTGTGTACTTACATGTGCAATCTATTACATATCCACAAGTACAGTTCAGCAAGAGTACAATTAATGTTCAGAGTATCAGCTCTGTGTTTTGGTTTATCACTCAGAGACTGGAACCATAATGTTTGATTAGCAGAATCTCTTAGTTGTGTCCCAGTTTAGCTGAGATATAGACTTAAGTCTTTCTGGTGGAAACAGTTTTATTTAGATGCCAGCATTCATATTAAGGTGTGTCAAACCATGGGCACATTAGTAATAAATATCTTCATGCTTCCATTCAAGAATGTTGGCCATCTGACCCAGGGAGAAGACTGAGACATTGTGGGCAGAACACCAAGATGAGGAAGGGAAAAGGGAAGCCAGGACAAGTTCACACACTCAGAGAAGGGGCCCTAGGAAAATAAGAACCCTTCAAGTTCTGGCTAGTTGGATGGCAGCCTTGAAATTATTCCAAGATAGATGCTGGAAAGGGTCAAAACAGAAACATGAAGAAAACTGTCCAGTGATCCCATCATACAAGAAAATACTACACTTTTTTATGTGAGGACCCAGCAAAGGGAGGACTCATCCACAGCTTATTTGATGAGGGCAGTGGGTGGAAGGCTGCTTAAATTCAGTTTTAGGCTATATTACTAATATATAATTAATATATAATATATATAATATATTTAGGCTATATTACTAATTAAAAAAATCAAGGTCAGTATTGCCCTACTCTAGTCAAGCTCTCCTAGTTCCCAATAGAAAGTAAGCCTTCTTAAAAAAAGGCACTAGATACCTCCTTATGTGTTCTACTATGGCCTTCCTCCTCATTGTCAGCATTTCCACTTCCCTTGCCAGAATTTAAACACCTCTAAGTCCATACAGCTTCTCTCCAACAGAGTTTAATTTCACAGTAAATTCAACAATCAAATCCAACGCCATCCACTTCCTCTGCCAAACTCATAAATTATGCATTTCTGTCAATGGTCATTTCATCATTCTCTAAGTCAAGATCAAAATGGCAATCTCTTTCTCCCATTTAAAATCCTATCAATTCACCTTTCTTAACTCTCTTTGTTACTGATGATCATTCTTTGATATAATTCCTCCAATAGGCTTTATACTCACAGACAAGACTTCACACCACATAAGCCTTTTTAAAGTATTTGATATTTTTGATCCCTTGTGTGTTATTTCTTTATAATTATTATCGTATTGTTTCTCTAAAAGCACGTACCTCTTTTGGTAAAGACACTAATTTATTTCTGTCTGCATTCAAGTTGCTCAACTTCTTAAGTTTTCCAATGCTCTTAGGTAAAGTCTGTTAAAATAACGTTTTTATTATTAATTTAATACATATTTTTAACATGGTACATAGTAAAACAAATCTTTACAAGGACTTGAAGAATATAATCTCATCCAGCAAGAGAAGCAATAGTTCTTCCTGAATATCACATATTTGTATGTTCACTGGAGTGATGCAGAAGTAAACATTTTGAATTTTTGTGGAAATGACAGTTTGTTTCAAGGAAGTGGAGTCAAAGGCAGAGTCCTGGGAACAAGAAAACACATAACAAGCAGGAAATGAATGTTCTTCAACTCAGGTAAGTGGGAATTTGCACCCTCAAGACTCAGCTCTGTCCTGCCTGTCCCTTCAAGGACATGCTGGGAAGGTGGCTGAGAAGACTGCGGAAGCCAGAGTGTGGGGCAGGGAATCGGCAGCCCAAGCAGAAAGGAATACCGTGAGGCCAGGGGAAGAGAGGGGGACAGATGGGATGGGAGCAAAGTAACCAGGCCTGGTGTGGGTCTTCAACACCTCAATGGAATCAGGGGTAGATAATATTTTAATAACTGTTATGATTACTATTTGTAAGCCTAAAACCATAAAGCAGAACAGGAAGCTCTGGTGACCACCACCACACCTGCTGGTTGATGGCTACTTGAGCAACTTGAGGAGAGATGTTGCTGGTCTCCCCTGACCAAGTCAGTGGCCTCCATCCTCTCTTGCTATCTTTTTCTGGTCTTTTCACCTAAAGAGCATTACTTACACTATTTATAAAGAGAGGAGAAAAGGGAAGAAAGGGAAAAGAAGATGAAGTGACAACTGAAGGACAGACAAAAGCAGAGGAAGTAGCAGGAAGAGAGAAGACAGCTGAGATTTGCTGCCCCCTGCAAACCCACCCTTGGCAGGAGGTGCATGCTCTGCCTGTGCCCTTGGTAGGGCAAGAAGCCTGATCCAAGTGTGGGACACCTGCAGCCACCTCCAACCCCAATTTCTGGGATGGGGAAAGAAGCAGCCTTGAGCAAAGCCCATCAGCTACCATCTTTGGCTCCCCCAGACCCAATCCCACCAAGGCTTTCCCTGGTCAAACACTATTTCTTCCCCTTCTCTCCAGCTCTTCCCATTTGTTGAAAGAACTCAGGGAGAGGCCAGAGGAATCCCCAAACAGTTTTTCTGCTGGCAGTCTCTGGAAACCATGGCAGAGGCATCAACACATCCCATACAGTGGCTTATCCCCACACTTCACTGGGACCTCCAGGATGCATCAGTGCAGTCCCTACATTGTAAGCACCACAACTGGGACACAAGCTCTGACAAGGGAGCCTAAACACCATTTTCTGTGCTTAAACAAGTTAAAAACTGATCTTCTTTATGTCATGCATTTGCTTTGTAAGTCCCTTTTTGAGATGTAACATAAGGAAATTTCTATTTAGTCCACTCAAATTACAAAGAAGTAGAATCCACCCTAAGTCTTTATGATAATGGAAACAAACCACACTCACCAGGAGCCGATTTTCTGTAAGAACTAACTCGGTGAGATTTTCACAGTCCCCAACTGCTTCAGGCAACTGTGTGAGTCTGTTCTGATCCACCTTCAAGATTGACAGTTTCTTTAGTTTTCCTGTAAAAGTGTTATTTAAACTCATTAGTTACAATTGTTCTCCTAATCACTACTTGATATTTCCTATTTGCTGTTCTTTTTTGTTTTAAATGGTTACTTGTTTGTTCTCATCCAGCTTTTCACATTATGAAACTCTATCATTCTCATTTAGAATACTAAAGGTTGAGAGTTAAAATAATTTACTCAGAACATCAAAATCAGGCAGTAATTAGAAACAAATCATCTTAAAAGGCATAAAAATATCATATCAAAGCCAGAAAATTTAAAGAAAAACAAACAATTGCCTCTTGATGGAACTTTAGGAATAAGAGATATCTCGTGGATGGAGGAGACTTTTATTTTACTACAAGAGTCATCCTTACTAAAAACAATACAGTGCAGTTTATTAAATCACCTATGAACGAAAATGATTCAGTGAAGACCCCTATAATAAAGTATTTATATATATATAGAATAACGTGGTCATCTCTGAAAAGTCATATTAAGGACTGAGTCAGGAGTCCTTAATATGGAGTAGGAAGACTTGACTTACTGGTGATGCCCAAAGGCCATGGACACTGCAGTCTGCTCACAAGTCCCCACAGAGAGAAGGAAATCCTAAATCATTCAGTTTCTCATTTTCAAGTACAAGTCAAGGGACTAAGCCTACACAGCAGGTGTCTTTCACTGTCTACTGCATGTGGCTAAGATGATGACACTTTCCCCTTACATCAGAGAACAGCCTCTATCCTAACAGGGACATAAAGCTGGAGAAAGGGAAAAGTCTAAAGGATTATCTTGCTTTTTATGCAGTAACGGCAAGGTGGGAGAACTAACCAATTCTTAAGCTCTTTATTTAGCATAATCAATAATCTACTAACAATGTCCCTGGAGGATTTCCACCTACCCTCACTGTCAGGGGACATGTTAGCATCACACCCGAGTGCAGAAACATCTCACACCAACAGAGGAGTCTCCTTAACGATATTCTTGTCAAGTACTCTTGCAGCCTCTTCTTGAATACTTCTAGTGATAGGGTACTCATTTCTTCACTAAGCAGCTAAAACTAATTTGTAACCAATATCTTTGTTTTTTAATGCTCTTTCTTAAATGAAATTGAGATTTACAATTCTTTCATTTCGTCCATTTGAACTAGAAGATGTAATAAATCTACTTCTTCTACAGACAGCTCTTCAAACGCTTGAAGTCAGCCAACTCATGACTGCTACGTCTTGCTATTCCAAGCTACAAAACATGGCCAGGTCCCACCAGATATGATTCTCAGCACATCTGTACATAGAATCAAAATCCCCATCAATTTTCCAACTGGCTTTCACCAAAAGGCAACGTCTGTATTCCTACTGAGCTGCTGTTATCGGTTACCATTTTCATCTTGACAAAACACCAGAGAGGAAGTCGTCCTCTGTCATACAGCTTTTCCAACTACTGAAAATCTTTCAAAAACTTCCTTTGATGTTTTGAATAAAAGTTAAAGACAGCAATCCTATGACAACTCTATAGTTAAATACAGTTTATTACAATTTCTAAGTGGTTTTGCTACAGTGGAGATGCCAGCCCATGTCTGTTTATACCTTCTCTGTTTGTGTTTAATTTCTCACACCAGACTGAGTTCGTCTATAATAAAGGAAACATCTCGATTGACTTTTTTTTTTTTAAAGAAGTAGCTTTGAATGGTTAGAGAATTGTTCTCAATGTGCCAGAAAAGGCTCAACTCAATCACACCACTCTTCCTTTAGTAGCACCTTCCCCAGGTCATGCAGAAAGGGCAGGGATATTTTCTCATAAACCATTTAGGATGCTGAATTAGAAATTTCTTAGTGATTACTCATATGCTCCAAACACATTCTATTATTTGGGCTAATATCTACTGTAATCACTGAGACAAGAGGCCGATAAAGTAGGTATGAGTTAACACTTGAAAGTGACAATACCTATAACTGCTACCAAACCAAGACAACAGAAATACTTGCATAGAGACAAAACTTAAATTGTATTAAAATTCTTTGCTTTCCTTCTTTAAAAACAAGCAACATGGTGACTTTAAGTAGCCACATCCCCAGCACCTGAGAGTAGTGATCAAAGGATCAGAGTGTACTCCAAATGCTCAAGACAACAGCAGGCAGCACCTTTAGAAATTAGTTACTTTCACTACTTACCAATGCCATCTGGAATCATTTCTAATAAGTTCTGGGAAATGACTAAATCCGTTAATGAAGTCAGGCCGCTGATTTCTTCAGGAAGTCTTTCCAACCTGTTTTCAGAGACATCTAAGCACAGCAGGTTCTTCAGATTTCCTATTTCCTATTATCAATGACATTCAAAAAGACACTCAGGCTTAAACCTGCCACAGTACAGAGGAATTTGTTATAGTGGTTTCTTACAAATCCCAAACCAGTCCTAAGGATTTCTTTAGCATATATCCCAATGTAAACACAGGAGTAAATTCCTAGACTCCCTTCCAATGAAAATGAGAAGCTGTATGGAGCTAGAGGGGATGCCAAGCCCTCCACCTTCAGACCGGCAAGGAGTCATTCCCACTTAATAGATGAAGAAACTGGCACCAAGAAAGAACAAATGATTGCAAACTCACACAATTAGGGAAAAAAAGAAAAAAAAGGAGGCTAGAATCTAATTCTCCAAGTTGGGAATCAATCATTAGTAAGCAGGGTGACCCTGGGATTTTCTCTGGTAAGAAATCACCTACTTTACATTTCCTTCCATGACAGGTAGTACGTGTTACCACAATGCAATTGCTCCCTGGCAAAATTGTAACATAAAGACCCATCAATACTTTAACATTAACAAAAAAAGAGAAACATACTGCTTTTAATGAAAACAATCAATCCAGGATTGGAAAATTACCTCAATGAGTCTAACATTCTATTTAAGAGTTATCTTACCCTCCGTTCCCAAAATGCTCTTTTATAAGTGCTTCCACTCTTCCATTCCCACTTTATGTACATTAAATTCCTACCCTCATTACCCTCTTTCCATGACTGTAAACTCTACCTCTTAGATTCTGGTCTTGACTCCCCCTTACTGAGTCCATTCTACAAACTGTGTTTCCTAATGTCCTTCCTAAAAACATAGCTAGCTCTAGTCATATAATCATACTGCCCTTCTACTCAAAAAACAAGGGGCTCCCTGATGTCTACATAAGTACAAATTCCTCAATCTATATTTAACTTGGTCTAATCTAGTCTTTCCAGCCTAACTCCTACCTACTATACGCCTTATGATCCTGCCCATGTATATATTTCCTATCTAAGAAAACCAGACTACATTCTAATTTCAGGGCAGAACCCTGAAGTTGCTGTGCTTTTCATTAATCCCTTTTAACAATGTTTTTGTATCTTGTTCTTTCCATCATCAATCAAGACAAAAAAAAATTCTGCTTATTTGAGGCTTTTTGGTGTGTTTAGTCCTGGTTTAATACAAGTTTATACTAAAGGAGCAAATGAGTCTTCTAAATAACCAATAACATGATCATTGGAGCTTTAATTTCTCTCTGTTTAGGATATACATTTTGCACATATCTCTACGTACATACATTTCCCCTTCAGTTCCCACAGATGACTTTTATTACTGTCCTGGTAACTTCATGGTATTTTTTCCCCCTTCCTTCTAAAGGAACTAACATTCTCTCAACCAGGACTTCCCATATATTTCCTACAGACATCTAAATATTAATCAAACCCTACCCACAACAGTTATTGATATGTCTCCTTCTCCCAACTATAACCAAGATCTCAAAAACAGACTTAAATTAGTTCCTTAGTTCTGCTAGTCATGAAGTGACACACAGTAACTTCAGTGCTATAACTACCACATTTAAAAATTTACTTAAGTGCTTCCTTCCAGTGTCAGACTTCCCTGTGTTGATATGGCATTCCCCACCTAAAGTACACAGCCCCAACCAGACTGGCTCACACAGCTGGGCAGAGACTTTTTATAAAACACAAGCACTGACATCATGAAATATTTCTGACTATAAAAACTGGCTGTAAGATACACCAAAAAATAAAATTCAGTAATAGCTAATAAAAAACAAAATAAAAGGGGAAAATGCCCATTTTTTGTTTGTTTAGGTTTCTCAGTTTCTCTCTCAGAAAGTCCTGTTTGCCAGGACTCCACAAGATGACGGTGAACTCAGAAGTCTATACAAGACTCTACTTCATTTGGTAACAGCAGGAAAAACCTGAACTGCATGACATGCCAGCTAAACTATAAGCAATATTTGGAAAAATATGAAAGAAAAGCTTTTAACATTGCTTTTATATCAACTATTATTACAGGGGAAAACGTGGTCAAAACTATCCCAAACACTTGGCACATCACAAAGAGTGGCAGAAATGTATACTGTCAGAATCATGGGTCCTGGTGATTTACGAATCTTCTGGGCTTGAAGTAAGCCTTATGGGTAGCAAAGATGAAATAAAATACAGACTTCACAAACTAAAGGATATATTTACTATCCTTAGAAATGGTGGGTTGAGGTTTTCAATTTTTCTATGGCAGTGTAGAATGATGAATGCTCAATATATTTTTCCAAATGTGCTTTTTCAATGTTTTTGGTTTTCAGGATCCTTTTTTAGAAAACCTCATGTAGAAGCAGGAAATACACAAGCTTTATTATTATTATTGTTCTACATTTGGCGGAAGACATTGTGAAATTACCACTTACCTGAGGTAATTCTGACAGTTGATTTCCATCCAACCAGAGATCCTTTAGATGTAAGAGAGCTCCAATTGATTCTGGCTAAAACAAAGAAAAAATAATGTTATTGTAACAAAGATCCAGTTTTCAGTCTTCCACTAAGTAAAAAAATCCTAACTGATCAGTTAATAATTGGGTAACGTAGTAGATGGTGGTTGTTATTTCTCTAACATCAAGACCCCCTTTCCTAAAAGTGCCCCAAACTTTCCCCAAGAATGCCAGTTGTTTCCACCTACACTCATCATCTCTTGCCCTGACCTCCCCCTACTTGAATTAATTCTTAACCTGCGTGAACTGAAGCACATTCTCTAATGTTCTCAAGCTACATTTGAGGAAATACTGGCTTTACAAGAATCCCTATAGATCTCCCCGAAATATTTTGTGATCATAACTAAGGACAAAGCTAAATTCAAATCCTTCTTTGATACAGACTTACCAAATTGTATATTTCATTGTTTCCTAAATCAAGTTCTTCTAGTCTCCGTAGCTGGGTAAGAGAGCTATTTAAAAACAACAACAACAACAACAAAAAAAGCACTTAGAAATTAGAAATGCTGAACGACATAGTATTCCTCACTTGGACTAGTTTCCAAAAATAAGACCCATTTGGAATTTATGGTAGTAAATATTGCACAGGAAGGACTATTAAGAGAAGGCTGGCATCTCCCAAACTTTCCAAAGGATATAGAATTGACATAATACTGTAGTCTTGTTTTGTTTCTTTTTAATACTTAAAGAAATTCATTCAGTACACAATCCCCTCTTATTTACCCCAGAGACTCACTCAGGAAGATACGTGAGAAGATTCTCTCTCAGCTCCAGTGAAGCCAGGTTATAAAGACTAGAAATGAAAAGAAGAAAAAAGTGTAAGGGAAATTCCTCAGATTCTTCTAACTCCCATTCCCACATGCAATACTCAACAAGTAGCAATTCTTAATAAAACCTCATATGTCATTTCCTAGAGTAAAAATATCTACCACCACCACCTCCCACCCCCATTAAAAAACATAATCTCTACCTTCCAAATTTGAATATTAAGATATTAATAAAATTATAAGAGTAGTGTGCCATGACTACAAGGCACCCTCACTCAAATACTTGCACATTTGGTATGTGGAAATAACTCCCCAGCCATTAAAACACAACCACTCCCAGGACCAAGATAGAAGTCAAATATGTGCTTCTAGACTTTAGAATTTCAAAAATGTGCTGTTACCATAAAAACAGTAATGCCTTTAATCTTGTGGAGTTCAGAACTCTTCTTCCAAGCATCAGTGAGAGACCATCCCTGTTTTAACATAGTGGACATCTCAGTCCAGAAAGCCCAAGTGCTCTATTTAAGATCATAAGTTTAGGGCCGGCCCGGTGGCGCACTGCTACAGTGCGCCGCTTGGGAAGTGCGGTGGCGCTCCCGCTGAGGGTTCGGATCCCACATACAGACCGGCCGCTCACTGGCTGAGCGAGGGGCGGGGGCAACACCGAGGGTTGCGATCCCGTGGCCGGTCCCGGCCCGGTACGGGCGCGACACTGAGGGTTGCGATCCGTTGCCGGTCACGAAAAAAGACAAAAAGAAAAAAAAAAAAAAAAAAAAGAAAAAAAGTAAAAGAGCAAAAAAAAAAAAAAAGAAAAGAAATTAGCTTTTTAAATTATTTTAAAACTAGATTTAAAATTATTTTCTTTAGATATATGAATTTCAATTATATATACATATGTATGCAAATTCCTTTAATAAACAGAT